TTCGGCAGCAATGACCCCCCAGTCCTCCACCCGCCCCATGCTTAGTTCGCTTCGAAGACGCAGACCACTCCGACTCTGGCAGCAGCGACAGAGCAGGCTTGGCGAGCAGCTCCTGCAGGTCGGACCCAACGTAGCCCAGGTCATCCAAACGGCACATGTCCTCTGCCTTGGAGATGTCAGGCAAGGACTCTTTGAGGTTGAGCGCCACCGTCCTGCAGTCCTCACCCGAGTAGTAGCTCGTCCTGCTCTTCATCAAGTCCTGTGGCCAGCAGGGTATCTCCACCCCAGCCAGCGCGTCGCCTACGCGCCACCAGATCGCCTCCCCGATCACACGCGAGCTCGCCATCTGGACCTGAGAGAGGAGCCCCGCAGCCTCCTGGTGCTTGTTGCTCAGGTGGCCTAAGTGCAAGTAGTTCAAGCCCATGACGCCGATGAAGGTCCAGACTTTCACGGCGACGTCCTGGGCCTGCTGTCTCTGCTCGACGGCCCAATTCCTGACGTTGCTGGAGGATCCCTCACCATTCTACTGACCTTTCATTCTCATGTCCCGTTCCCAGGTGTAAGATGGCGCCGGCGCCCTTACTGGCGAAGGAAGCACTTCTCGACCCACACCAGCCTCCAGCGATTGCGGCGCGACGCCTGCAGGGAACAACCTCGTGAAATCTGCCATCTTACTAAATAGCCTTTACACACTGGCCAGGATCCCAAACCCAAGCTCAAATGCAGTCATCTTGCACGGCCCGCCCCTGCACATGCGCGAAGCAACGCTAGCCTTCTACTGACTAAACGTCGGGATGGCCACCGCGCCGCGCAAATGGTCTGTCAGCACGGGCAGGGCACCCCCCGGCGTCGGTCCTTCCGGGCCAGGCCGCGCCGGCAGCCAGCGGCCAAGGGGTGGTCGAAGCCCTACTCGCTCACGCAGAGCAGCTGCGTCCACGGGGGCACCGACGTCGGCGATCGGCAAAGCTCTTGGGCCTGGGCCTCCGCCGCAGCCCTGGCCATCGGGACGGGCGCGCGAGCCAGCGCCCCCATCCCAGCCGAACCCCTAGCCGCGGATCCCGAGCTGGCCCCGAGGCTGGGCCATGCGGACCCTGGCCGCCTGGATGCCACTCACGATCTCCGCGTCCTCGATGGACAGGCTCAGGCCGCCGCTGTCGGCTGCCACCAGTTCGAACCATTCCATAGTGCGTGAATGGCCATCTCGAATGTCTTCTGCAGCGCCTTGATCATTGAGAAGATTAGTCAAGCGAGTGGATCGGCTTTCCCATCACGAGGCCCAGGGCGCACTCGCACAACACCCGCAGCGCACGACACCAATCTTCTCCGATCTCCCAAATAGGATGCGCGGGGCGCAGCACGCGAATGAGAAATTCTTCCGCCGCTGCCTTGAACTGATCAGAACATGAGTCGTCGTGATCAACATACTGGGCCATAGTATCTATCTCCTTCTCGGCTAGGCGGCCAGGCGGTTTGACGGCGATCTTCATGTAGGCGAGCCGCCGCGCGCCAACGGGGCGCTCGCCTGCCACACGAGCATCATCACTCTCGAGAGGATCACCGTCCTCCTGCTGGCGAAGGTACCCCGCCAGCGCTCGTAGGACAGCCTCCTCGTCGGAGTTGCCGGCTGGACCATCCCCAGGCGCCCTGTCCGCGGCGACGCTCGGCGTCTGGCCCGCGATGTTCGTCTGAGCCACCTCGTCGAGCCTCTGCAACTTCTTATCCAGGTGTTTGGCCGACAGGTCCGACGGCGAGCGGGCGTCAGGAGCAGCGACGGCCAGCATGCACGTCTCCGCAAGCTTCAAGCACAGCCTGCCACAACGCCTCTGGTAGCTGTCCTTCCCCTCCGCCGTCGCGTCCTCGGCCTTATCCTCAAGCGCCTGGCAATCGCGCTCCAGTTCCTCGAAGGCCGCGTCGTGGAACTCGTCATCGTCGTCTATATCAGCGAGCGTTCTGGCCTCGTGGTCCGCAGCCGCCGGGCGCTTGCGCGCGGGGTCCTCTGTCTTGCGGCTGGCGGGGGGCCTAGGGCGGAGCGATCCTCGTCTACCTCGAGTAGAACTGCCTGTGCGACGCCAGGCGGGATGGCGGGGCACTCCTCGCTATTGCGAAGCATCTCCATGCGGAAATCTGCCGCCTCGCCCATCGTAAGCTGCTGCTGCACACGGGCGCGCAACTCCTGGATCCCAGCCCACGGTGCTCTATGCGCGCACTGCGACACAGGCCCGCTACGCACATGCGGGGAAAAGCTTGTCGCCCTGCCTCCAGTGCGAGTCGAGCCACCAAGAAGAGCACGGCTCGATCGCGCCGAAGTGTTCCACCTCATGCGCGGTGCCTCCCGCGTTCTCTGTGGCCCGACGCCGCACCACCCGAAGCGTGGGGCCGCCACCGTTCTCTTTCTCCTGGGTCACCGATGGCGGAAGCAGCGGACAGGCTCTAGGGGCCCCATGAGCCTGCGGCTGGCCTGGACCCCAGGCCCGGATCACGGAATCGGGAAGGTGTGCAG